TACGCTCCCGTGGAAGTTTCCGCGGGAAAAGTTACTATCTCGGAAGCCATAAAAAATAGGAAGCTGGAATTTTGGGAGAAAACGACCTCGCAGAATCAAATTCAGCTTTCATGTACGCCTGGGTCTCTTATGCGGCCCCATGAAAACTTTAGTGGGGAAAATTATTATCTCAGGAACTAGAAGAGCTGTGAGGCTGAAATTTCAGGAAGTTGTTTTGGGCCTGTGCAGATACCTCACAAACTCAAATTTAACTCCCAAATATGCCGAGGTCTTAAATATGACCACTTGAGTGTTTTGATGGGAAAATCACTGGCTCGGAAGCAGGAAAGCTAGGAGGTTGAAATTTGGGGGAATGTTACTCATCCAAAGTTTCAAATTCAGCTGTTACGTACCGGCCGTGAAATTTTTGGTGAAAAATCTTGCAGCTTAGTAACCAGACAACATTTCGCAGTGAAAATTATTAGCAGGCAAACGTGCACTGGGTGGAATTGCGCAAAACGCATGATCGCACCGGATATCCTAGCTCGCGCCGCTATTTATAGTAATATCATGAAATTCTTTCTGATGGCTGTAGTCCACAAACGTGTTATATTTGATGGCCGTCTTCTCACATACATCCGCACATTCACATACGTGCACGCATATTAATCTGGGCATAAGTAATATCGTGCAAGTAATATCTTTGGTGTGAGTTTTGAGGCCTAACATAGTTGTGCACCGCGTGGATCTTCCAGAACATCACTAACATAGGATCCCTACATCAGTTGTCTTGGTGATCTTGTTGTGTATTTTCATTGGAAAGCCCTGATTTTATCATTTTTGTAAATCTAGGACTTTTTTTTTTGATCTTGCTTGTGAAGGCACTTTAACTAATCATATGCAGTGGGATATTTTCGTGATGCTGAAGCAGGCATACTAATGAAAGTTTAGCACGATAATCTCCCAACACTGTTCGATGCAAGTCTCTAAAGGCATGCCATAACTGCAAAAAATGTGGAAATTAAATAATTCAAATTGATAATTTGAGCAGCTGCTGCTTCAACATGCGTTGGTCAGAGCATAAAACAACTTTTTCATTTTCTATTTCTAACACGTCTCATTTGCTAACCTCATGTAATCGTCTCTTATTTCACTGACGTCATTCTTTTTGCTCATTATCACTGTACTTGAATGTATCAATCCATGAACGACAATATTAAAGTAAATTTGCGCTGGCCTCTTAAAATTTTCGTTTAAGTAATTTTTAGCGTTCACATACAAACATTTTTTAAAGTTAGTCTTATAAACTACTACTACTACTACAACTACAACTACAATTACTACTACTACACGTGGCTTAAAATCTGTTGAGAAATCAAGGAAGTAAATCGTCATTTGAGTGAATACCAAAGAGGTGACACACATTTCGAATGGGCATGGGTACTGATTGGTGATATCCGGCTCTGGATCGACGGGCAGGGCTTTGCCCAGCGTGTGAGAGCAATCTCAATAGCATCCGAAACATGAGTCCTTTCAGTCCGGATGTTTCTGGTACTCATGGGGCGAAATTAGGTGCGGCGGTCTAAAAGGTTCTCTTGTGAAACAAATTTTGCTGGTGAGAAGCCTGATTTGTTATCAGACGTACACA